GGCCGGGGAGATGGCTCAGTGGAATAAGTGCTTCCCTGGCAAGCGCAAGGGCCTGAGTTCAGTCCCCGGTTCCACAAAAAAAAAAAAAAAAAAAAGAGTTGGTCTTACTTATGATTTCTTTGTGTTATGTGAACATACTCCTTTACTCTGAAGGATCTGTTACAACTGGCATTTGGTTGCTTTTACTTCTCTTGCTCGTATTTCCGTTAACTGCTATTTTTTCCCTCATGTGTGATTAGACTTTTCTATGTTGTGTCTCAATTCTTTATTGCAAATTAGTTATTTTAGATGGCATCATAGCAGCTCTGGGTACTGCTTCTCATCTTCCCTCACTCCCTGGGTATGTTACTGATATTCAGGTATTTATTTAGTGAACGGTTTGGTTAATTCAAGTAAAAGTAAATCCCTGCCTTACCAACTCTCTACCTCTCCCTTGTCTGAAATCCCAGATACTGCTCTGCTGCAAGTGCAGCCCCAGCAGAATATTCACGGTTACCATGGGAGGGCAAGAGCGTGACAGGTGCTATGGATCAGATCTAGAGTGACCCAAAGGCTCATTTTAGAAGGTCACAGGACCATGGCAGCAGCAAATCTTGCTTGTAAGAGGTGGGGGCTGGCTGGAAGTGGGCTGAGGAGAGCACAAAGTCCCTTCCCTCTCTGCCTCCTGGCTGCAGGGGATAGCAGCTGTCTCCCACCAGCCCTTCCGCCACATTGTATCTCCACTGGAGCTGCAGGCTGAACACAGGAACCAAAACCACCCTTTTCTTCTAGAGACTAAAACCTCAGGACACTCTTGGTCAGGTGCCCACTGCTTGTCAATATTATCTTCAATAACCTGAGGCATAAGTGGTTGCACAAGTGAATCCAATTGCTTTGGATTTGCTTTGGACCAGTCCTGTGACAATGCTGTGGGATCCAGTCCTGTGGCTACTGCTTCTGACACCTGACCTCTGAGAAAAGCTCTTCTCTAGGTTCCAGTTCCCTTTTCGCCACAGTTGGCACTGCTCTAGGAGCCTTCAAAGTATCCACACTGTTGCAGATTAATCACTTCTTTGGGGAAGAGTTTCAGTGCTCTAGTTTTCTTCTCCCACAAAGCCAGATCTTTGAGGCAGAGGTCTGTGTGAGGAGGCAGAAGAGTAACCTGCTTCGCTCTGAGTGACACCTCTGCTTTAGAAGAACTCCCTGGAGCAGAGAGGAGCCTCGGGCTGATTTATCATCTGATTTATCTCTGCCAGTGTAGAGCTTCTGCTCTAAGAGTAGCAAGGATGACCCACCCGGCTCTCACAGTCTCAGTGCTGACAAGCCCAGCATGAAGGCTCCTCCCAGGTGCAGGGTGCCAGAAGGCCGCCCCCACCAGACTACACATGACTAGAATCTCATCTCAGCAATGACAGTGGGGAGCAGCGGGAGAAACACCGGACTGCCCGACCTGGGAACACATTACTTGCACTACTCTACTTGGCAGACCTTTGTTCTTGGGGCCACCAGAATGAAATATTTCTTTCCTGAAGTAAGAGTTGGTTCTAATTCTGGTCTTTTGCTTTTCCTCCTGGTTTTGGATTTTCCCAAAAAAAGTATATTTCTTCATTTGCCCTCTAGGCCATCTCTGAAAATTGCAATGATTACTTAAATTTTTTTCTCTCAGTTTTATTGGGGAGAGCATTTGGCTAGGTCCTCACACACTAGTACTGCTCAGACTTGGAACGTGGAGTAGGCGCCTAACATTGAGTCTTTCATATCACACACAATGACTGCAAGAAGAAAAAGTACTAAATTTTTAAAAAGTCATGCTCTTTTTGGAGTCTCTAAGCTTCAAATAAAATGCAGACATCACCAAAAGAAATAATTTTCCACCTACAAATTTTTCTTCTTTGAGTTAAAACCAAGTGATCATTCTTACACTTCAACTAGGCACAGAAATACAAACCATCTGCCAGATACGCCATAGCAAGTAACATGTGCTTGGCTACCTGTGGGGTCAGCAGGTGCACGGTCGATATACAGTGTTGTTAACTGCTTCTTACTCAGCTGGGAAAGTAAATGAATCAACTACTCCAGGGTTGCACTAGCTTAATAAAGTGGGATCAAAAACACTCTCAAACTGTAATTGAGGGCTGGTGAGATGGCTCGGTGGTCTAAAGCACCTACTTAGAACAAGCTAAGCTAAGCAAAAACACAGGGACCACGGTTCAATCCCCAGCACCACATGCCAGCCAGCCCCGCCCCCTGGTGGGCTGAGCTGGCCACACACACAGAAAATAAATAAATAAATAAAATTAAAACAAAAACAAAAACAAAAAAAAACTGTAATTGATATATATCAATAGCTAGAATGTTACATGTCTACCATCTGGTTCAAATATTTTTACCTTTCTAATCATTACAGTTAATATAAGAAAATGCTTAAAAACATGTCTAACCTTACCATGGTGGGGTCATAGCCCAGAGAGAACAAAGAAGGCTTTTCTTGTAGAACTGCTTCCTTCCACTGTTCATCTGACACTAAACCAATGTACCAGTCACTTTCATATTCTTCAAGGCAGCCTTTTAGCTCTTTAAAGTCTTCAACTGGACCTAAACTTGCTTTATCAACCATCAGTTTCAGAGTATATCTAAAAAATGGAAAACCAAACAATTTTTGAGAATTTTAAAATCAACTCTACAGATAAAATAGATTTGATCAATATTATTATTATTATTATTACTATGGTATCGGGAATAAAATTTGGGATGCTGCACTTGCCAGGCAGGTGCTTATGCCACTGAGCTGTATCCCTGGCCCTTGATCAGTATTTCTAAGACTGAACTGAAATCATCTAATTTGAAACAAAGAGTTGAGGGATCAATGAAATACAGCAGAGAAATCCAGCTGGCTGTGTGAACAATAGCTCCTTTACACAAATAAAAGCAAAGAAAGCAGAAATTAAAGAGTACTACTGATAAAATTACAATGCATCCTAAACATTTTTCATTCTTTTGAGAGTGAACTGAAAAAATCAGAACTGAAAAAAACACCTCACCCACCTCCGAAAAAAACACAAATAATTTCCTGCCAGTGCTAACCTTACAACTTGTGTACAGAATCAAAATGACTTACCTGAAGGCTTTCAGAACTAGTTGGAACAGTTCTGGTTTTACTGTGAGCCAGTCCAAGGCACTAGACCAGGGCAACACACCATTGTAAACTCGTAATATATGGCCAGCAGTAGGAACCATGTCATCTATTCCCAATAAACCAACATAACAAGTCATTACTGTGTGAATGTAAGAGTCCCTTAAAACTTTGTCCTTTGTTATTTCTTCCAGTGCAGCTGAGGGCATTGCTTCTGAGGGGAAACATTCCAACTGACTTAAGAGGAACTGGTACCAGTCTTCTGGAAAGAGGGGGCTCATCTCCTTCATTTTGGAGCTGGGCATACAGCTTGGCCTCCACTCTTCAGGTAAGCTCACTAAGTGAGAATGGGGAGAGCTGAACTCGCAGAGAGGAATATAAGCCACACCTTCTTCCTTTCCTCTGTCAGCAGCTGGGTATCCCAACAGAACTGCTTTGTACAGACTGCGTTCAGACACGGTGTCTGTAGGAAGATCATCAACTCTCTGTGGGTCCACTGAGCCTGGAAGAGGTAAAGTTGTACCTGGAAAATCTGTCAACCAATTTTTTCCTTCTTTTCCTTTTTTGACTACCGGCTCATCACCAAAAATATCATCTGACCAGTCATTGAGAGTCTCTGATTTAAAGCTGTCTATGTCTTCTGGGGATTGGGAATGTGATGAAGGGTTCAGAGGAGGGAGGACTACTGGAGCCACATTCCCTTTGCTTGCAGTTTTGTGAAAATTCTCCTGCTTCCTGGACCTTTTGGAGCAGTACTGGAGGAGGATGAACACAAGCACTTTGATAAGGTCACTTTTAAAACTTTTTAAGTTTTCATGAGAGTCAATTATGCCAGACAGCACATTCCTGGCATCAGAATATAGTTTCACAGGCAGAACAGTACAGGGAGTCAAGACATTCCCAAAGTGTTCATTAAGGGAACATATTTTTGGGCATTCTTGTTCAAAAGCACTTTCAAAAAGTTCATCTACTCTTCGGGCTTCAGCAGCATGACAGGATGTTTCTTGCAATTCTAACCCCTAAAAAGAAAATAAAGAGTATCTGAGTTCAGTCATTTATTACATAGAGAACAGCAAAATTTCTTTAATTCCATAGCTACACCTTAAACTTTATGGCATTTTGTTTTGATATTGGATAGACTAAAAGTAACGACACCATTTTATCTTATTTTACTTTTTAATTTTTTTATTTTTATGTATTTGGTACAGGGTCTTACTACACAGCTCAGACTCATAGTGATCCTCCTGTTTTCAGCCTACTCATAGATGTGATTACAGGCGTGCACTACCACGCCCCATCTCAGTGGCCAGCTCAGTGTGTCCAGGGGCAGGGCAGGCACTGGATGTGGTGCCGGGGATTGAACCCTGGTCCCTGCATTTGCCTAAGCAGGTACTTAGTCTACCAAGCTATCTCACCAGCCTGACATTACTATTTGAAGAGAGATGGTATTTCCATTAAAATCAGGTGAATAATTTTATTGAATATGAACGTAATTTAAGAAGACTATCAATTTCACACCAAAATATGAAATCAGAACTTTTGGGGAAAAGGCAAAGTAGAATTATATACTATGTTCAGTAGTTCTATATCCTTTCCACCCTACATCATAGGAGACTATGAGCATTAGAGTACTGCATAGAAGTATCATAAATTAATCATATTTTTGTTCAAGTTTTAAATTTTTTTTCAATAAAGATCTTTTATTGTCTCATTAAAATATCACAGATTGGCTTCACAATCCAAAGCTTGTTTCTGTGGCTGGGTAACTCTTGGATCTTACTCATCTGGCTGCTGAACGGTTCCCTTTTCAGAAACACAGATACCACCACAAAATTTCCTGATATCCTTGACTTTGACTGCTGTGGCTTGCTGAATCACAGCAGCTGAATGTGAAACAAGTCCAATGTCATTTCCTTCAAAGACTAGCTCATCTTTCTGGGTGTGAGATGACACTCAGCAAGCAACACCTGCCTGCATGCAAACTTGGCGAATGTATTTCTCACCCAAGAAATTCCGGATTTTGACAGATTCATTCTCCAGAATAACGACGTTAATGGGGAAGTGAGCACACACAGACTTCATCTTGTAATGGAAGCCCAGAGTGACCCCCTTGATCATGTTCTGTACATGGCTACAGATTGTGCGGACAGTTGTCAACTCCTTTCTGTTTCCCCACTGTCTGTCAACCTGGAGCCTCTTCTTTTTCTTCCCAAGGAGACTGAGTTCCACATTGATGTGGTTGAAGTCCCTCCGCAAGGTTCCTCTGGGGCCCTTCACCATAACTGTGTGTCCTTTTAGAGTGATGTCGACATTTTCTGGAATGTCAACAGTCTCATTGCTAAGAATGGTCTTTATTCTTGTGGGAGGTATGGCCAAGTATTTAATTTAAAACAATCATTTATTTATTTGGTACAGGGCCTCACTAAGCAGCCTGGACTCCTGTTGAGCCTCCTGACTCAGCCTCCCCAGCACTGGGATTACAAGCATGTACCACCATGACCGGTTTTGACGGCTGGCACAGCACGTCCAGGGTTCCAGGGCCAGCATGGCATGTGGTACCAGGGATACAACTGGGGTCCTTGCACTTGCCAAGCAGATGCTCAGATTGCTAAGCTATCTCCCAGCCCACTGTTCAAGTTTTACAATGGTAACATCATAATAATAATAA